CCTATGGGATTTTATTGCAGAGTAACACTGTTCAACTCATGGCTGGGAGGTAAATGGGAGAGAAACAGCCCAGGGTCCCACTATGCCTTCTGAGGGCATACCCTAATGACCCAAAGACCTCTCATGACACTCCACTTCTTAGATTCCACTGCCTCCCCAGGGTGCAAGCTGGGGACAAGTCTTTAGCATGTAGGCCTTTAGGAGACATTTATGATCCAAATTCTTCCAGCTTCCTACCTCTCTAGTCAAGATAGTCCTTGACAGAGGATCTAAGGTGCTGATGGAGATGAGAAGCAGAAAACAGAAATTTGTCTGCCCTTGTCCAAGACAATAGTCCAGTATGAGCAGGGGCAGGAAGGAAAATGTCCCAGAGCTTGTCTTTAGACAAACTTCAGTGAATGCAGCTGTGCAGTGCCGCCCAACAGAAAACCAGCATCATAAAAATGTTACTCATCGACCTTATCCAGTGGCTCTAGGACCCTGTGACTCCTGGCTCTTCCACAAAGTCAAAATGATCACGAACAATAAACATGTGAATCAATTCAAGACATGGAGGCAGTCGTGACAATGCAGCTAAAGACAGGAAAGAGGCCTTCCAGAACTGCTTCAGAAAGTGGCAAAAATAAGTGTGTTTAAAGCAAGAGGGGGATTTTATGGGATATTAATGACAATGTGTTTTTCAGTGTAACAAATTTTCAAAAAAAAAAAAAATTCACATATTTCCCAATCACATTTCATACTTATACTAAAATATTATTTCTTGTTTTCCTGAAACTCAAGGTTAACTGAGTACCTTGTACTTTTATCCGACTACTTTGTTTTCAACAGTTTTAAAGGCAAATTTGATGAAGAAAAGGCTTCTGCTCTGCGTCTTTCAATGTCACGTTATTGATAGTTGGGTATTTCTGTGTTGTGGAATGTTATCCTCTTCATAGTAGGGTACTGAGCTACATTTCTGGCTTCTATGTAGTTGCAACCCTCTCTTGTTCATTCTGATAACCAATTATATTTTCAGACTTTGCAAAATGGGCAAAGAAGCCCAAATCAGCTGAGAACCATTGATTTAGCAGCAGCAAAAGCAGAACCATACAGTATACTAAGATAGTAGACCAGAAGGTGGCACTTTTATTCAAATAGTGATGCAGGTTCTATTTCTCCCCCAAACCCACCAGGAGCTCCTTTCCTGTACTGTGAGAAGCTGTCTAGACCTCCTTGGGGAGCCCAATAATACCATTCTAGTCCTCTGCTGCTTATATTTCCTAGAAAATCATCCAATTCTCTATTGCCTGGCCTTTCCACACAGTGCCCATGAAACTACATATGGCAGGTATACGGCTTTTATGTGGATCTCCTTGTCAGAGAAAATCCAACAATTAAACCAAATGTTTACATTTCATCTGAAGCCATTAATTCCCCTGGCCTGAGGAAATGTAGTAGTTGGTGGGCAAAGCAGTCCTAGTCAGAATACCTTCCTTAAGCATGGTTTGCATTTCTTTGGATCTTGAATGTCCTCAAAAGGCCTGTGTGTTAAAAGGCTTGGTCCCTAGCAGGGCACTCCTGGGAGGTTGCGGTGCTTTTAAGAGGTGGAGCCAAAAGGGAAGTCTCCTCATTGAGGGTGTGCCCTTGAAAGGCTTTGCGGGACCCTGGTTCCATCTTCTTTCTTTACTTCAGATTTTGTCTATGAGGTCACTTTATTCCACCAAATGCTCTGCATGGTGTCCTGCCTTCTCAAAGGCTCCAAAGCAATGGAGCCAACAGATCAAGGACTATAAACCTCCACAATGTGAGCCAAGATAATTGCTTCTTTCCTCTTATAAGTTGACCATCTCAGGTATTTGCTAATCTATAGTGATAGGAAGCTGACCGTCACAGTACATATTATTCTTTTCTTCCATTTTATAGGGTGAAACCCTGGTATTGGGCAGTGAAATCTGTCCTTTAGCCGTCTCTCACCTACACATTTATCCTTGAAGATGAATGCTGAAATGCTCTCACATGATGTTCTCTATTTATAAAGTTTCCTTGTGTGAACGTGTGTTCTTACTCCCTTGAAAAAAAAACTGCGATGACTTTCCAAGCTCTATTAACTTTGATTGTCCAGCATTGATAATTAATTTGGTAAGCCTATCAGCTCATGCAGGGGGAAGATTTCATTAGCAAGTTAAATGTAACTTTGTTTCTTCATTGCTTTCCATATTTTGTTGGCTTTTAGAGCTAAAGTAGCTTTCTAAAAAATCCATTGAGTGAAGAGTGTAACTATATGGGTACACTGCTGTGCGGAAAAAATTTCTGCCCTCCATTCTCTATAAAGTTTGTATGTTCTCAGATCTCTTTTATTCAAGCATGATTCCTCACATCAGAATGCTCCTTTCACCAAGCAGCCCCACCTTAAAGCATAACATTACCTTTATTTGTAATCACAGGGCTTTATCACTGCATCAAATACCTGAGTCTTCTCAGATCCTGATATTTGTATTTAATCAATAACCACATCTTTTTTTGATCTTTCCCCTGCAATTGTATGTTCCCAGCTGTGTATGTTTTATTGTGTAAGAATTCAATTGAAACAGCCATTCATGTTTGCAAGAGGGATGATGTTTTATTATTGGTTATAAAGAAAAGAAATTTCACACTTTATATAACTGACCCTTTCTGTTATAGCATGGTGAATTCTTAAAGTGAGGAGCAAGTTAACAAACCATGGAAAGCAAGGCCACAGAAAGATCTTGGAGTATTCTGACCACATTATGAAATAAGACCTGGCAATTTTTATATCTGTAATTGACAAGCATTCAATTCAAATTTGAAATGCACATTTTTTGCTTAATTTGATAGCATATGCAGATCAGAAAGAGTAAGGGGTTGATGATCAAAATATTTACTACCCACGTGGCCTCTCCTGATCAATGACACCAGGTTCTATATTATTGGGACAGGGTCCCAGGGACCCTTGGTTCTTCCTTTAGTGGCTACAGGGGAGGATGGTGCTTGGAGAGGGGCCAGGGTGGTCTGAGCAGGGAGAGGAAACACAAAAGAGGTTCAAAGTTGTCACTGTTTGTGAGCCAGTCTGGTTGTATTTCAATACAGTATTTTAACAACTGTAACAGCTGTACTACTGGGTACAAGCTAGATTGAGAGGTGAAGAACTGTACAGTAGAGAAGCAAAGTCAGAAAAGTAGACCCCAAGCTAGAGCCCTGACATTGCCATTAATTCAGTAGGTCATCTTTGGGCAAGCTGCTGCCTGAGGCCTCCTTTTCCTCCTGTGAAGTGTGAGAACCCTGGATGAGTGTGGCCTTAGCTTCCCTTCCTGTTCAACAGATTTTATATTTTTTAATCTGTAAATTCTATGCATAGAATTTAGGACTCAAGCACCTGAAAGGCAGAGTGGATGCAGTGTTTCAGGAGAGATGGGAGGCCCTTTCATGCTCTCTGGCGGTGAACATGATAGTCAAAAAGAACGAAGCTGCATTAACTGTGGTTGCACAAGCTCTCAGCAGCAAGTCAAGAGCAGCTAAACACCTGCTGGAGGCAGCGTTAAAACTTTAAAGGTCAACAGTTTTAATGATAGGGGAATTTCTTGCAGATTAGGAAAGTGTGTAAGTTTACTACAGAATAAAACACGTAGTTTGGCCTGAAATTTCTCAAGGTAGAAAAAATAGGTATTTTGGAGTTGGCTGTTATTGTTTTTCCTAAATCACAAAAAAAAACTGTCTCAACTTTCTCTTCTACTTTTCTGTTCTTGGTTGGTTTATTGATACATTCTGCTTTTTATATTTAGTGAATACATTGAGTTATCTTCATGGGAAGATACAAGCACAAATTAATGAGCAGTGTATTCCTCTTATAGCTCTAGAATCATGCCTATAGAAAATAAATTCCAAATTACCTTCAACCTAGATGTGTTTCCATGTGAGCTGTTGTTTTAGCTTATTTGAATTGAAAATCATTTTCAGCTCATATGACATATTTTTAAAAAAGATATCATAAGTATGAAGAAGTGCTTAATGTAATTATTAATTACCCTTTTATTGGAAAAAGAGAAAAAGTGTAATTTCTGAAAGACATGTTATTTTAAAAAATTTAGAACTGAGAAGTACCTGTGTATGTATTTATTTTAGATATCTACACAAGTAATAGTTTAGTAAAATGAACTGATTCTGTTTAAATATCCCGTTGCTTAATGTATCTGACAAATAGAAATGAGGAATTGTCAGAGATCATTTTCTTGAAACTTGTACATATTCCCATTTACACTTATTAGAATAAAGAGCCTTTCTCTAAGAGATTAAGGATATGTATAACCTGTTATGACATAGTCATAGACATATAATAATACAGTCTAAAATTATAGTAATCTCTTAAAGTATACCAGATTCAAAATTCACTGGAGATATTTTAGAGACATCTGTTGTAATTACATGAACATGGTTTCTAATTCATTTAACTCCCTTTCCTACCCAAACTGTACATATAAGTGAATTTTAAGAGACTGTATAAATAAATTTTTAATTACAAAATGATGTTATACAATACATTATTAATAATAACCAACAATGCATAATGTTTATGCATGAGTCCATTAGAAAGATGAGCTAATGTATGTCAATTCTAAAACAAAACATTAATTTGGCCTGAATTTGTGAATGAGGTTGAATCCATGATGCAAGCTGATGAATTCAAGAATACAGAGTGGTTTAGCATGCTGTTTTATAATCAAGAAACATCTTGTACCTATGGCATTTAAGAGGTATTTAAGATTTGTTCATCGTGTGTGATCAAGAATCTTATTTTTCAGTGAGCCATGCGGTTGGGAAATTTGGAGTGAGACCACTGAGTTGACAATAGTAACTTTCCCAGACAGGTGCAGAATAAAATGGCCTAGAGCATCCAAGAAATGTGTACAGTCCTTGCATTTTGGCACATGGAAATCTCGGTCTCGTTGTGGTGGAATTTCCCACTGTGGCCAAAAGGACTGCCGGGACATGGTTCCTTCGTCATGCTAGCGGTAACAGATTTCTGAAATCTCCATGGCCAGCTCCAGGCACTCACTGGTCTCATGGCATGACTCAAAAAGGCTGCAGTCCACATCACAGTTGCAGCTGCAGTCGCCGCGTGAGTGGCTTTCATCTGCGGTGTGGTGGTACCCGTGAGAGGGGCAGCACAGGCTGATGCACATGGCTTCGCACGTCTCGGGGAGCATGAGGAGGCAGTCCCAAAACTGGCAGAAGAGACAGGCGAGGATCAGGGAGGCACACGCGTCTGCACAAAGGAGAAGGAACAATTACGATGTGCTAACCAGGTTCTCCTAAAAGTGTTTGAAGCGATAGAATTGCTAACTACCTTGCTCTGATCAGTATACATTTCATACATGTATGGAATTATCACATTGTGCCCTATAAAAATATGTACGATTAAAAATAATTATGATGCATGAGCAAAAATATAGTAAAATGAAGAAGAAAGAAAATTAATGGTACCACGTGGGGCCATCTGTGGAAGCACGCAGGTGTGGAGCTGTACTGATGACTTTATAGCCGGCTCTTAATTATTTATCCACATTAGGGGTAATGCGCACCGTTAGTCTTCCAGGCTCCCCTACCCCACGCCACCACTCTCTCCCCTTAAGTAATTGCTTTATTAACTTCCTGAGCATTTCCTATCGATTCCATGTAATCTAGTTATTTAAAGTGCTGACACTTTTCTAAACCCCTTTATTTACTTTGCCTACAGAGGTGCACGGAAGACACACAATTACCCGCCTTGCAACTGTCTGAAAAATAGCAAGGCCTCCCCAAGTGCAGGGGGCTGCAGGAGCAATTAGAGTTGAGGACAAGGAGCGACTGCAAATGTCCTTTTGTTATTAGACTTCGTTATTTGTTTGACTGATTCTCATAAATCTACCACACCCATGTCCAAATGTGAGTGAAAAGCACATTTCAAAGCTCAATATTAATGCTTTTTAAAATAATCGTAGCTTTTTGGGTTGTGTTTTATTTTTAATCCCTGTCTCCATTTTCCTCTAGTTATGCAAAGCCTTGATTTTATATTCAAGTTGCTTCAGTGAAGTACGTCATCATATGCCTAAAAGATTTTGAATCTTATCAGTCCTCTTTAAGAAAATTGGTTTAAACATTTACCATGCAGACTTGTAAAAATCTGGAAAATATCTCAAAGGCAATGAAGGTAATTGGTCATTCTAGCCAAGCAGCTGTGATGGGTTATAGATTATTATATTTTTTTGTTTTCATACAGGGAATTAGTTAGAAGATGTAGCAGTTCTCCTATTAAAATTATAACTTATATTGAAGTTTAAAAAGTCTCAAAACTGTATTTTTGTAAGAGGGTAGGTAAATGTTCATGTGATATGTCATCTAATTAATTAAAATTAGTGATCTGAAAGATTGTTGATGGTTGAAAGTAATATTCTAGCACAAATTGGAAGAAGATTTCCCCTCCAGATGGGCTTATCAATTGATCAAAGTTTGCCCTTCATAAGGATCTATTTTTTCCTAATAAGGATGCTAACTTTTTATTTTTCAGTCCTCAGTCAGTGCAGACCATGCAAGTGCACAGATTTCCCCTCTGCACTTTGTGCTACAATCTGAGTGACCTTTTAGCCCCACAAACTCGCTTCCAACAATATACCCAGAAAATTTTTTCATTGTTTCCATGCTTGGTAATCTTTAACAGAAAGGAAAACTACAAAATATGCCCAGGAAAGGAACAACTGTTTTAAGGAAAAAATGTTTGAAGTTATTGAAAAACACTATCAAGTTCTAAAGCGAGTCCTGCATTTAAGTAGAGAGAAATCTTCCTTTCCTTTCCCTCTCTGTCTCTCTCCCTCTCCTTCTTCCCACTAAGGTCATGGTTAAAAAAATATATGCCATGACTTTTATGACTACTTTAATTTTCATATATTGTTGCAGGTGCTGTGGTCATTACTCAGTATTTATAGTTTAGGCAGCATGCTCCATAATACCTCTGTGGGGTATGTACTCATCTCTGCGCCAGACTGGGTATATTTTTATTCACTTAACGCCAGCTTCTAGCATATGGCCAGCTCACTCATATCTCATAAGTCACCACAAACCACCCACAAAAATTCAGGAGTAAGTTAGTAATAGTACATAGACTGTATTTTGCCTCGTCTTTTCAGAAGAGGGCATGTTGGTGGTCAGAGACGTGGGGCATACAACCTCATGGAGTTTAACCACTGCCAAGACTGCTACTATAGCAGCCTCTGGCAGAGAAGAAGTTCTCAGTAGAATGTATTCCAAACCAAGACTCCATGATCCCTCAGGCTAGCGGCTCAAGAGACTTAGGCTTATGACTGTATTAAAATGAACCTATTGGATCCTGTCCTTCATACATGCAAGGCTGAAAGTTTCATTTGGAGATAAGCAGGGTGCATGGTGAGTATAAGGATAGGAGCTGATGTTTCTTACTAGAGTGTGAAAAACTTTTCGTAAAATGCCCTTATAATTTCCTGAGGGCATATCACCTTTTGATTTAATTGCACTTGCCAGCATCTTGAGTTGGCGGACGCTGGAGGTCTGCTTTGGATGTGTACCGCAGATTTTATTTACAAAAGAAAAACAAAGTTTTGGCATAATCCTTTGGCCAAATAGGCATTTGCTACCCTCCACCTCCCTATTTTGCACTTGAGAGCAGAGCCCCCTCCCCTTTTTCTGTTTCCAAGTCAGTCCTTTTTATTTGGTTATAAAAGGCAGAGCCTCTTGCCCAAAAAAACCATGGTAACATTAATGAATTGAAAACAGATTTTTCCAAACTTTCAAGCGTGTTCCATACTTTTCCTAAAAGGTGTATTAAATAATTCTACATGAGCAGGCAAAATTGTTTTGCATATGGCCAAGTTTTGTTTGCACAGAAGTAACAGAAGCAGTTCACAGGAAAAATCTGTAACTATTTGAAAAGAGGGTTGGACTTCCCGTCCTCCTGAATGAATATATTTGCCTGCACTGATTCCCAGGGCTGTCATGTTTACTAAACATGATGTTCCGTGATTGGCACCCTTTTTCTTGGTCCAGGCTGAAGGGTACTGGGTATACACAACTGCCTACTCCATGTCTCTTCTGTACTGTCTTCAAAGCATCTCACCAAGGCTAAATTACACTTGGGACCTTCTTCCCATCCCATATGCCCATCTGTCCTCGAGTTTTCCCTTGTGAGTGGCTCTTGAACATGCAGATGAGTTCACTGGACACCCGCAAATCAGTCTTTGTCATTTTCCTTTTGCTCAGCACCCTCTGCATCTAGTTCATCACTGCATCCTGTAGATTCTACCTCAAGCCTGTAACCACCTGCAGAGTCGCCATTTTGGATCTGATTCCCATCAACTGATGTCAGGACCACAGCAGCGACCTCCTGCTGAGGACCTTCCGCTACCGCATGAGCTTACTTCCAATCCATCAGTTCTGGTGGTGTTTTTCATCTTGAGTTAGAATGACTCACTTTCCCCTCTAGTCTTGAATCCTTAGCCTAGCCTAAGGCTCTGGGCTCTTACCCCTTTCTGGGACTTCTGAAACCACATTGTTCCTTGCTGTACTTCAACGGGACTGGCTGAATTTGAGTGCTTGGAATGAATCTAGCTCACAAGTTATGCATATATTGTACCTATTTTGTATTGCACACCCTTCCCCCAGCTTCCCCCAACTCCTATTCAAACTTTCCCTCTCAATCATATCATTGCTGAAACTCTCATAGCACCCTGCTTTATTTTTTTTCTTCCTAACATGGACCACAGGATGACATTAACTTACTTAGTGTGTTAGTTAGTTTCTCCTCCCTAGAATCTAAGTTGCCCAGGGTACAAAGCTATGTCTCTTGCCGAATGAGTAAATCAGTGATTGTCTCTAAGAGGTAAATGTATTGTGATCTCCATTTTTTTGATGAAACACTAAGGTTCAGAGACTGGCACCGACTGTCCCAAACCCTCCCAATGATAAGATGGTACAACAGGCATCCACATCTAATTCTTTCTCCACCCAAAGCCCTCACTCTCTGTTCCACTGATGTCTGTGCACTTAGTAGACCGAAAGCCAGCCTGCAGTCCTCTGTGCTATGTGTCTCTCATACATGCCTCAAGATGCTGCTCAGTGGATACTGCTCTCATTCCTGTTTCTACATGAGGAGACCATGGCTTAACAGGAAGGCCCCAAACTCTAATTTGGATCCAGATGGTCTCATCCAGAGCTCTAAATTAGGAAACTGGCCTGCCCTCTGTAACACATTTGCACTCTCTTCTTGCCATTTTGAGCCTCGTGCAAGACCGCAGTGATTTCCTGAAGGCCTGCTTCCTTTCCTTTCCCTGCTCTGGCCCTTCACTGCCCTGGATTCTGGAGACTGACAAAGTATTCTGCAGGTTGCCTTAGTGGTTTCTGCCAATGAAAGGCAACAACAGGAGCCAGGAGGCTGAGAGGAAGGGAAGCACAGGCTGCTTCTCCTGCCATCTTCCTACTGTCTGAGGCAGTGTCCAGGTCTCCTCCTTCTATTTATATGGCTCTGGATAACGACAGTCACTAGTGATCTCTCTAGGGCTGGTTACTGGCTGGTGGTTTGAAGCTAGCACCAGCAGCAGTCTCCTTGTGCTCTGGAAGAATACAGGAAAGCAGGACAGACTTTCCTTGTGGTTGCTGAGTTCTGGGCTGCCTCGCTGTTCACTGCGCTTGGCTTTTCAGCGCTTCTAGTACCTTTATGACAAGTCCCTTGTATAGGAAGTCCCTCTGCTGGGCACCTGGCACCCTAGAAGTGGCTCTAATCTCTGCTGTTAGAGGGTGCATCTGGATTTTCCTTTCTTAAACCTGGAATAAAGGCAGTTTAAGATGAACTGGAGATCTGGATCCCAACAGAGCCCTAAGTGGTATTTGCCTGTGATCTGAAAGCTAGGACAAAATCCCCGAGGGCGGATTCCTTTCCTTTTTACCCTGCCGGGGTACTTCTAGGACGTCAAGGTTGTAATGTGCTAAGTGATGATACCCTAATGACACTGAAGAATTAATGAAGCTTCCAGAGGTGCTAAATGTGGGACTGACTAATTAAGAGGGAGAATCTGTCTCATGAGGAAGAGTCATGTTTAATTATGGCAGAATAGATAACAATGCAAGGAAATTCCCCAAATGTACCTGAGGTCAGCTTCACAATCACAGTTCTGTATTCCTTGAGCTTCCTCTCTACTCTCAGCTTTCTGGCTTGCTACCATGGTGTCCACCCACGACTAGCAGAAGAGACAAGAGGCATCTCTAGCTGCCAACTTTAGGTCCCGAAACATCCTTCAACTTTAGAAAAACACCCTCTGGTACCTTGGGGATCATTATCTAAAGTAGCAAAAATATGGTTCTTGCAGCAGGGATCCCAGATAAATAACAATTCCCCCCTAAAACAGGGCAAGATAGAAATAAATAAGTAAAAAGGAAGCCAGAGCTGGGGGTCATGGGGTAGGCCTTGAAGAGGCTGAGGCAGGAAGATCGCAAGTTTGATCCCCACCTGGGTAACTTAGCAATTTTGTGAGATGCTGCCTCAAAATAAAAAGGGCTGGGGATGTAGCTCAGTGCAAAGGTCCTGGATTCTACCCCTAGTCCTGCAAACCAAACAAATCAAATAAACAAAAGTTCAGATGAACCTGACCCATACCCAGTCTTTTAAGGCATTCATGTGCTGTCTGGAGATTTTGACATCATCATGAGCTTTGTGTCTCAGTGACTGACTGATTATTGCAACTTTTTGGTTCACAAGTATAAAAATTGTTTCTCGCTCCCCAAACATTAAATTCTCAAAAATATGTCTGTAATGTAGAATGGGAATAAATAAAGTGTGACTGAATGCCTTTCTCTAGCTGGAGAATCATCCCTGATGTTATCAGTTTTAATAGCTATTTAAATATGTCAAAATCTATTTAAGTTCAGACAAGCACAACTAACATCCAAGTCAGTTCTTTAAAAGCTAGAATGACTAGATTTGGGTGATACTTGGTAAATTTGTGCTTATGTTTTTTTCTGAGCAAATGAACTGAAATAATTATAAAATTGAAACATTTTATAAGGTGACACCACTGCATTTAATTGTATGAAATTTATAGTGTAGAAAATGTAATCATTTTATTCAGTAGTCCATGGTATAATTAAGACTATTCTTTTGAGGTACCTTGTATTTATGATTTTCTTTTTCCACCTGGATGAGATGTATCAAATTCAAAATTATACACCAATTAGGCATATTCTCAGAATTATTTTTAAGGAACTTATTTTGTGATATCGTATATATCTTGATTTTTTAAAAAAATCCCCAGGGGTGCTTTTGCAATCAGAAGAATTAGAAACAGAAGCAGGTGCAGAGTTCTCTCTGGACTTTTTCCATTTTATTGGGAAGGGGACCTCACATGATGAACCACAATTTAATAATAATGTTGCAGCACATAGTGTGTGATGTGCAGTAAAGATCCTTTTAAATTCCCATCAGAGCACACACCATGAACTGTGCTAATGGATGCAACACATTTTACAAAATCTGCATGTGTGAGGCTTTTCCATCCTGTTTTAAGTGGGGCAATGTATATAAATAATAGATATTAGCAATTAAGCATCCATTCCTATGCACTCATTTATACATTTGAAGATAAATTAACCACAAACTACATGAAAGTGGATGCAATCTTCTCTTTTCCCTTCTGTTTTCCCTGCTGTTCCTGAAAGATATTTCTGTATTTATCTCAGTACGAACAATGACCCCAGTTCTCAATTTCTGCATCCTTAAATTAATTACTATCAAAAATTCTCTAAACTGGAGCAAGGCTGATTTAACTCTTGAGTTCCTCTGTGTCTGCTGTTTAGGATAGATAATGAGAGTTTTGCATCACTCTTTGTGGTTCTTCCTTGGTTTTCTACTCTGCCTTTTGTACAGGTACCAAAATCTCTCCCTTCACTGGGGAAGTCTGTCATGACACGAACAAAGAGTGGTAGTCCCTTACCAATGCCATCAGGTTAAGACCTGAACTTCCTGGGTCATGCTGACCTACATCTAGTCCTTTAGAAAACAGCCTACTTCAATGAATCTCCTTTAAATGATGACACCTTTGCTTTATTTTTTATTTTATTTTTTTATTTATTTTGAGACAGAGTCTCACTGTGTAGTTCAGGATGGCCTTGAACTCATTGTGTAGCTTAGGCTGGCCTTAAACTCTCAGCAATCCTCCTGCCTCAACCTCCCAAGTGCTGAGATTACAAGCTTGAGTCACCACTCCCGGCCTCCTCTGCTCTTTTGAATGGAGTAATGTGTTGTTTTTTCACATGAGTCTTGAACCTTTTCATGAAGTACTCATTTTGGCCCTTCCATGAGAAGACAAAGCCCTATATACCATACTAGTAGACCTGGCCCCATATCCTTCTCCCTGATAGAACAGATTGCAGTGATTCTGGGGGACCCTGTGTTTTCCTCAATGGGTGTATAGAAAAGAAATCCCAAATTCTGGGGTCATTAGCCGGACGCACAAGATGAGCAACAGCTGTGCCTACGCAGCACAGTTTAGCAAAATGCTACGGTGTCAGGATGTTTTTGCAGAGAACCGCCTTGCATTGCCTGCTTTGGGCATTAATCTGTGCAAAAGCTGGGAATTTGAGAATCATCTCAGATCAAGACTGTAGTGCACAGGCCAAAGATGCATTGTTGGGAGTGTCTTGGGCTCCCTACAATAAATAGAATTAATTACCAGCAGTGGAAATTTTAGAAATTTCAAATTACAATCCTAAACTCTGGCTATTCTTGGAAAACTTCAAGAGGCAACTCTGAGCCTCTATTTCCTCTGCCAACGGTCTTACAGAGCCAGGTAGAAACAGGGACCTTTAGACACGCGTGATTCTGTTGCCTATTTCCAGTTTACTTCAATATTCACATGCTCGACTGGCAGCTGGGTGTGTAGATTCTAGTCTAAAATATCCATGGCAATATTTGCACGTGAAACCACACTTACAGCATGGTAGAAGGCTTCACTCTCCTGCCTTCCTAAGACTTTATTCATAGGATAACCTACAATTCAGTTTGTACTATGTGCCAGTTTTTGCACTAGTGCTTTATGCTTGTTATTTCATTTGATCCTCAGAATGCCTCACAGTGTGTTAGGAACCCTATTATAAAACCGAGAGACTGAGATTCTAAGATGGCTGGCAAACACAAAACTTGTACAGCTACCATTATACAACTTAACTTCAGAGGCAAGAGCCAGGCTGATATGATCCCAGAGGTGCTTTTATACAAAGCTTATTTAATTTCCTTCTCTTATTTTCAAAATTAAATGTGAATTGAAGTTCAGATCAAAATAACAATACCCTGTTACATTTTCCTTTCATAAACTCCAGGGCTTCTTTAAATGCAAATGTGTATCTTGAATGTTACAAAACTCTTGAGTGGATTATATTTCCCATAAAGGTCACTGCACCATTAACTGAGTTACATTTCATATGGCATAGTGTGGAGTTCATGGCTCTGAGCTTGATCGTGGCCATTTAGCACCAAGTCAACTTGAAACTGGTTTTGCAAATGGAGTGTCTCTTTATGTCATACATGGCATGGTTTGATCTATGTTTGCACTCATCAAAATGCCTAGAAAGTGATAGTACCTAGAGAAACCAACAATTTTTCAGAGATTGCTGATGTAAGCATCTTGATATGTTATACAATTTATATGCCTGTATTGCAGTATTTTAATACAGTTCTACTGTCTTCTCCTGTTTTCCTAGAGCCACAAACTGAATAGTTTCATGTATGAGAAGAGTAAGAAGTTTGTCACATTTCTTCATTGGCTTCACAGCTCCATACAAGAACGATTATGCCCCACTCAAGCTATTTAAAACACATCGCCTCTGATTCCCTGTTTTGAGAGCAAACAATCTGCCAAGCACCTCATAACTGCAAAGTGACCTTGACATGTGTCATTCACCAGGGTTTTCAAATCGAAGTCATCCTGTTTAATATTCATAAAGTCTTTTTTTTTTTTTTCTAACAGCATATGTGGTGATTTTACAGGGGCTGGGGGTTGGGGAGTTTTATTTAAAGATGGGTTGAATGCTGAGAAACATACCATCAGTGTCTCTCTGATGAACTGAAGTATCAGTCTGGAGGTAGGAAAATTTTGTTTGGCATTCTTCAAGGGAGGACAGTGATGTGCTGGACTCTGACAGTTTTTTCTCGTTGGAGGTTTCTTTGGCTGGTCCATCTGTGATTTTGAATTCGGATACTGAATTTATAACGATAGCATTAATGGCTTTCTCATCTGCATGATTTTCATTTGTGACTTGCATATCTAGGTTAAAAAAAAAAAAGAAAACATACATACACAAACCCACTATAGTTTACCTAGTGATCTAAGAGTGGAAATTCACAGAAAAATTCACACTCTAGATTTGATAAAAACACAATTTTATTAAAAGGAATGAAGATTATTGAGCAGAATAATTATGAAGAAATATGAGAAGAATACAATTGTGAAATCTTATTCATGTTATAAGTTTTCCTATAATATTAATCTGTAATATGTATTTCCGCTATAGTGTTTTTGATGATGAGGGAGGAGATTCCAGGAATTTGTTCACTTGGGCCAAAAACATCTCATACAATGTTTCCCATGTTTTGTTCCAGTGGATCTAACGTTGAGAAGCAGGAAAGGGGGTCTCAGTACTGGGCTGGACTGCTGAGTAATTTACACGGTCTCAATGAAATCACTTTAATATTATTTTTGTTTCTACAAATGTCAGTTTCCTCCACTTCATAAGAAAAAGTAGATAGAGATTGTCTTAGTCTCTTTTCTCTCCTTCCTGAGACAAAATACACTACACCCAAGGTTAAAGGAAGAAAGGTTTGTTTAGCTCATGGTTTGTAGTGGTTTCAGTCCATAATCAGCTGGCTTCAAGGCAGGGTGGCCCATGGCAGAGCGGCAACCATTCTTGGCAGTGGAAGACAGCAAAAGCAACAAGAGAGTTTAACAGCGTCTTTCTGCCCCTTTTTTCTTGTCCAGATGGCTGGGATTAGGGCAGTGCCAAACTGATCAGTGGACTGATTTAGTATCACACACCCTTAATCCCAGCATTGCACGCTCAGGATTCAGCCACCTCTGAAAAAGCCCTGTGACTGCATGAGGCTTTGGAGACCCTCTCGACACAAACCATAACACAGATAAATAGTCTATCAACTCATTCCAACTTCTGCCCTCAATGATATTCTGTTGCTACCCTTTTCTCGGGCTCAGTTCGCTGAGTATTTGGTACTGCGGGTGTACATGGGAACATGCTTTACTCTATGTGATCATCTGGCCCAATTGTTAGAGTTGTTCAGGGAACTTCTGCTAAAGTCCCTGGCCAAGACTGGTTTGCAGAGGCGAAGAGAAAGCTGATGAGGCCCAAGTAATTCATGTATTTTTGAGCTCCTTTATTCTGTCCTGCATGCCACATAACAACTCGGAATCTGTGAGTAATGGGCTCTGGATATTGGGGTGCAGTGGTGACTGACGTAGGAGTGGTCCCTGACCTTCTTCAGCATTAAACAAGTTAGGAAAGAAGTAACTGCGTAAGTTGTGTACTTAGAAGTATATGAGAGAAACATCCCATGGAATCTTGTTAGAGAGAAGGCCAGACTGAATGGGAATGCACTTAATCTACAACTTACCCAATAAGCAGAGTCCTAAGATGAGGAAAAGAGGAAAGTGAAGAAAGTATTCTCTAACATGCAGGCAGCCTGGTTCTCAGGGACATCTTAAGACCTATGTAGGCAACAGTCCTGGTGACTTGGCAGAATTATTGGGTGAGGGTAAAGATGTGTTCTGGGGAATTGTATTCCCATGGATGCCCAGTGCCTGACTGATTCAGTCATGATCATTGACTGATATAAATAATATGACTGACAACCTGGTTTGATTTTATCATATTTATACAGCTCTGTGCAAGAAATGTATTTTGCTAAGTCCATTTTCCCTGTCTATTATATAGCTGCTTCTTCATTTGGGCCAAATGGAAATTTCTCCTATAGCAATGGTTCTCAGACTTTTCTGCAGAGTACAATCACTGGAGAAATCTAAAAATTTGAAATTCTAAAGGTTTAGGTATCTTCTTCCTCAGCAGACCAATTAATTTACAATCCCTGGAGGATTTTTGAAACATCCCAGGTGACTCCAACATGCAGACAGTTTTGGGAATCATAGGGGTTTCCTACTCCTGAGAGTGGTGGAAAGGAGCGAACATCGTACAGACTCATGCGTCAGCGATTCTCAGAGACCAGTCATGGGATGATCACTCTCTGAAGGCTCTGAACTGGCACCAGACTTAACAGTCTGCTATACATAGTCATGTCAGGCAATTTTTGTTTCTTTATGATTTCACAAACAACCTTGGTTTTCAACCATGTTTAATCTTATCCCTTTCCCATATACTTCTGGTTTTAAATCTGTTGGGTGGGGTTTCATCCACCCTAACAGAGATTGGCAAAGACAGGAATTCAGGAAAACATCTGTTATTAACAGCAATTAATGTACTATTGAATATTGAAATAGAATTGCCTCAGCAGATTGAGGAAAAGCTTCTTCTAACTCAGGAGGGATTCACCAAATTAAGGATATAGTGATGATAATAAAAAAAATAGCTAATTTTGTTTACTTGATTGTCAAAGCGTCCAGTAATCAGCCAATACTTAATACTTTAGACCAATTCAAGCAGTATTAATATTTCAGCCAGTTTTTTCTTTTTTCTTTTTTTTCTTTTGGCCCTGGAAAGACTGTATGATGTTTAGCTGTATCGCTGTCCTGTACCTCACTATACCGATAGCACCTGCCTCCATGCACTGTAATATTCATAGGCATTGTCATATTTCTCCTGTGGGACAACATCACCAAGTTATAATCCACTGCTTTACACACACACACACACACACACACGCACGCATACACACACACATACATGAGTTGCATGCATTTTATCTCCAATTCTATTACCACTTATATATCTTGTTGAACATAAGCATATTAAAGACTAGAGGATGTAGGTACTATTGCTTCTTTGAACAGAAAGGAAACTGGAATTGGTATCTTCTTTTTTGTTTTTGTTTTTGTTTTTTTGTTTTGTTTTTCTCCGGTACCTGGAACCGAACTCACGACCTTGTGCTTGCCAGGCAGGCGCTTTGCCGCTGAGCTAAATCCCCAGCCCCGGTATCTTCATTAATAAATAAGAGTAATGAAGGCTTAGAGCACTTATTTAATAAATTTCCCAAAGGTTCTTCAACATTAAAACTGGTATTCAAACCCAGGGCTAGGTAATTCCAACAGTTTAGCTCTTACCCTTCATATTATTCAATTTATTCTTAGCTTTTACCTCAGCTTCCTAACTGCTCAGAAGGCACATCATGCTCTGCACCCTAACTCCTGAGATGTGTCCCCAAATCCAGTCTTGCAAATAACTTATTTTCACAGGCCCATATTCTCCTGAGTGGTATTTGCAAAGTCCAACCAGCTTCTTTTTTTTTTTTTTTTTTTGTTTTTCTCCGGTACCAGGAACCGAACTCACGACCTTGAGCTTGCCAGGCAGGCTCTTTGCCGCTGAGCTAAATCCCCAGCCCCCCAACCAGCTTCTTGCACACTCAGGGACTCCTGCCTATTCAACTACTGCTGCTTTGTACCATGTGTTAAACAGCAGCTCAGAATAAGCCAGTAGAAAACAAAACCTTGAAGAATATAGAGACTGCAGCAGCTATTTACTTAACAGATTAATTAACAATCAATTCAAATGATCACAGGTAGTCAGGCTGCATGTAATTTAAATTGCTTCTGCACAAAGTAATTCAGTAACAAAAAAAGTTGGATAGATGTTACTGGAATGTAAGAACATGCGGAGAATACAGTATACAGCCAAGTGATATATGATTCTCTTTTTAATTTTGCAACAATTTTAAGTATAGCATTTTGAATGTAAGTGGTGTGCTACATTAAGCAACCATTTGGAGCACACTAGGCTTGTACTGAGAGAATTTTATGGACAAGTTGAACTGCCATTCATAAAGTTATTTTAATTCTGTATCTCTGTTTATATTTTTATTTTTTTCATTCCCCAGTGTCAGCTATCTGTTGCTCATTAAAAAATCATCTGACATACACACATTTCAGAACCAGTCTGTTCAACCCAGAATTCTGACATCTGAAGCAAGTCACAATTTTTGGTGAATGTTACTGAAATCTTCCATTTTTTATAGATGGGGAACTAACAATAATTTCCCCAGATTCTTGCCTTACACTGTTGCTTGACATTGTATCCGAAGTATTATAAAGTAGCATAAGCTAAAAGGGGTAACATATAAAAAGTGGTATCACATCTTCCGGAGAGAAAACTATTTTTGAATTATATAAGGAACTTGTGAAACTATATTTGGGATGTTATACATAGTTTTTGACATCAACTTAGAGAAAATAATTTTTTAACAGAAAAAAATTAGGACAAAAATTAGGAACTCATCTATAGTTCTTAGATAAGAAATAAAGTATAACTTGAAAATTGGTGAAATAGAAAATTCATGTGTGAGTTAAAAGTAATTGCAAGAACCAGTGGGCATAAACTAAGGAACAGAAAGATAGACAGTTAATTAATTTTTTATTACTGCTGTGCAAATGTTATTAATTTAATTCAATTAACATTTATTGAGTACCCAGATGCAATAGATGAATCACTGTGACAGGAGCTATTCATTTATTTACTTTAACTTATTAAGGAAACATTTTAATAATTTTTGATTTTGCTCACTAAATGTGACTTTGTAATTCCTTTATCCATAGATTTTCTATTGCAGTCTTTGTAGATCCGGCATCAGATTATAAATAAGTTGCATGTCTTCTTGCCTGGCTCCTCTGGTTCTATTCTTGTTTATGCTTTTTTTTTTCTCTTTCCTGTTTCTTTCCCTTTTCTTCTCTTCTTTTCCCTACCCCTCCCCTTTCTTTTTCTTTCCTTCTTCCCCTCCCCTTTCTGCTTTAGTTCTCTCCGTGACTTGACCTGTGTCGTTTATCTGCTTCTTTTTTCCTCTTGTGTCTTCAGTGTAAATTTATTCTTTACAACTTGGTTCTCATAGTTCTTTTTTTATTAACCTTACCCTCAAAGGTCATATTTTTTCACATGCATACCTTAGTTGTTTTCCTTGTGAAGTTGTCCCCTCAGCCTCGAGGGAACCAGCCAACCAGCTGCCAGTCAGACAACAGTTAAGCATAAACTCCACACGTAGTCCCGTGCTAACCACTGCGGAAGTCAAATAAAAATAACAACTAGTCTCAGTTAAGAGGCTTCCAGTCAGCACGAACTGCAGCCTCACCCTTGTCCCTGACTATTGTACATTTCATAAGCTGCAGCCGAATCCTTTCAGTTCACATCTTTTACAGTAATCCCTTCTTCTTCTCCCAAAGTGGGTAAGTCTGGCTATCCATGGAGAATCCAAAATTCAATTTTCCTTGATTGTGTTGTCATTTTTCCAGTTCCCTAGGCTTGAAAACTATTCTTGTACTTGTGCTATTCCTCCATCCAGGCAAGCAAGGGGTCTTTGTTATGCTTCCTTCTAAGTCTCCTTTAAGCCCTTGCCTGATTTCCCATTTCCGTCACTACCATTCCGGTTGGGTCCTTTGCATCCTCAAATTTGGATTTTGCGGATAGTTTTTGGGCTCCACATGGTGACAACTCCCTTTAAGATGTTTTGTATGCTACACTCAAGAGGATGTTTTCAACTATATGCTTCTAATCATATTGCTTATAAATCAAAAGCAAAACAAAACATATACACACCATGGTGCACACACATGAGAAATGTTAATGGCTCACTATTACCCGAATATTTTCTCATTCTCTTGTTCTCAATTAATTTACCAATTCTATCGTCTTTCAAAACAAGTAACTTGCTGCTAAAATTTTCTTGAGAGTGGTAAACCCCAGGAATGTATATAGATATTCTTAAATAAGCCTTTAAAGCAGAGTGATTTTAATTTTAGTTCAAGATCAAAACATTTAAAACGTGTGTATTTCAAATGTGTTGGCCATTTTCAAAGCGATAAGGGTGAATTTTATTTTCCTGTGCATTAAAACCATACTCTGGCTTAGAATTTAGTGCTGTAATTATCTATGGTTGATATCAGATCAACGCAGACAAGTGACATTTCAAGGTATAGCCCATGAAAGCATTAATAAATTTTTATGGTTAGTAAAAGTAGTTAATGAAGTGACAGTATACAGAAAAAAGTTATGTTTGACTGTGATAATTTTATAAATTTTAGAAATGATTTTTTAATGTTGCTAGAATATATGACTATATACTCCACAGCTTGTAGGTAATATAAGTATATATCTTATTTAACAAGATGAAGCATGGTAAAAGTTATTAGAAAGGGTCAAGTCAACCTTTCTAAATGTGTACATCACTATTGTCCTTATATCTGGAATACTGATTACTGTGGACAAAGACAGCACAAAATTAGGAAGGTTAGGATTCCTAAGCATTATTAAAAGCAAAACAAAAGGTAATTGATAACCCAGGGAAACTGTGTTTTCAAGATCATATTTTCTTTTATGAAAGCTGAATGCCAAAGCTGAGCAGATAGTTTTCTTTAACTGAGGGATGGAGGCCTCTTAAAAAATTGTCACTGTTTTGAACTGACAGTAAGTAATCACAGAATATTCAATTGCTGTAGCCTGATAAATTAGATAAAACAAAATCTTGGGCTCATTAAATTTAACTCATTGGGAGAATAAATAAATATATCTGACTTTTTTTTGTAATTTTCAAATGTCAGCTCTGGCTGGAAGATGTCCTTTAAAGACTTTCAAGTTAAAGTAGCAGTTTTATATATCATTGTTTTGATTTGTCTTCTGTAGCCCTTCAGTTGAGACCTAGCCTCAAAAACGTTAGATAAAATGTTTATCGAGAACTATGACAGGAGGGTGTTTTAAGCCTTCTCAATCGACCTTAGTAAATCTGTTCTAAGAAGTGAGGAAAAGCAAAGGTTTTTATTTCTCCAGAAATAATAGGAGTGGATGTTCAAGATGAAAAGGATTAAAGGGCAAGAACTGAGTATTGAAGGTGGACGGAGACTTCCTCCCCGAGCTTCCAGAACAACTTTAGTCTTTGGGAGATGAATTGTTTTGTTACTTTGTTTTTCTTTTCTTCCTTTTTGCCAAACTCTTCCATGTAATTACCTCAGTTTTTTGCACGTCACTACACTTTGTATCCTAAGACAGACATTGGCTTAGTGATACACTTTTATAGCCAGATCATAAGCTGGTAACAAGGAGCATTTCACTCCTGAGAGATGGCTGAATCTTTTTCAGACATGAAAACAGTTTGCAATTATGAGTCTCCATTTCATTTTTATGCAGTTACTTTCAGGTTAATGTTTGTACAAAGTGTTTCAGGAAATAAAGATTATGTTACCTAAGGAAAAAAATTGGTTATCAGTTTTTATAGTTTGATGCACTTGGATTAGTAAAGGTTTAGGGCTCTGAAATAATGAAAACCAATCAGGCTATAAACTCCTGCAGCATTGGTATTACATACATAGTTGGGTTTTTATTTTTATTTTTTTTACTGCTAACATTTAAATGTAAAGTTAAAATTTACACACTAATTACTTAAAATAGTCTCTGTTATGTTAAAACTCCTACAATTTATTCATTCCAACTATTGGAATGTCACTTAAGTCTCTTAAGTACACTATCACATTTGAAACTCACAGAAGTTTTGCAAAACACTTACAGTGTTACATAAATGAAGAATTGGATGGATGTTTTAGTGTTTTCCCAAGATGGCCCAACTAGTAAGAGGCAGACCTAGTGCTTAAACTCACTGATGTCTTCTAATTCCTGTGGTCACCAAACTTTGCATTGTCAAACTTTGCATTGTCAGCCTTAGAAACCAAGGCCAGGGGCTGGGGATATAGCTCAGTGACATAAGTGCCTGCCTGGCAAGCGCAAGGCTCTGAGTTCCATCCCTGGTACTGAAAACAAACAAACAAACAAACAAACAAAAACCCCAAGGACTGTGCTGTGAGGTTATGATCACTTCCTGTGGATAAACTTTTGTTCCTTCTGACTGTCCTCCGTCTGGGTTAACTGATCCAGCTTGACTGCGAGACACGGATACATATGTTCATGGCAGAACTCCTATAGGGTAAATACTGATTAAGTTCCAAATGCGAACATTGAGTCCAGTGCAAGAATCTTCTTACAACAGTCCCCCTCTCCAATTCCAGTAGATATTAACAGGGACCCAGAGGTAGCCCTTCCCTCAGTATCTGGTATTGTGATGAACTGCGGAGTGTTTTTCTCCCGTTTTCTGTGGCGCACTCCTCCAGGGAACACGGGCTCCATTCATCTTCAGCTTCCCAGCACCTTGTACGGTGTCTGGCAGAAAGAAAATGTTAAATATTTTTCAACTGACGGACTGACTGACAGACTCAGCTGCTGTGTCTCAGCTGTCAGGTGACAGTGGACTCATCCCTAGGAGAAGTTTTCTAAGCCTCTCTTACTGATCTTTCTCTTCCTCTCCCCGAATGCCAGTTGATCCTGGTGAAAGTCTACAGATTTCTTTCTCTAAAATACATCCTGATTTTCAATTTTATTTGAAAGCAATATTTGCACTTGCATATAAAACTATGAAGATCATTAAATGATACAAATAAAATCTGTAATGCTTACCATTTTAAATACATTGTATTCTTTTTACAAAAAATGGAAATACCTGGAAATATATATATATACAAAATTAGAATTAAAATACATATATATGCTAATTTGCATTAAA